AGAAATTTTTGATAAGGTCCCTCACAAAAGATTAATTTTCAAATAAAACCCAAAGGATATCAAGGTAATGTGTGCACATGGATTGAAAAGTAGTTAATGATCAGGAAACAGAATGTTATTTTAAAGGGCATAACATGTAATACTGTACATCTAAACTATGGTATACCCAGATATGCATTTTATACCTAATATTTTCCTAGATCTAGATTAATGATATCAACCAACAAACTAGCTAAATTTGCAGATGCCAAGCAAATAGGAAAAGTGAACAAACACAAAAAAGGCTGTAAGGGAAATACAGCAAGACAAATTCATGGACTGGGAAGACACTCATCAAATGACACCTAATATTGGTAAGCAAGTAATCCACATACAGTAGTATAGGAACACACAGTATATCCATATTACAATATACTGTACAAATCCCAACTTTAATGAGAAACAATTTGGGAGATTCTGAGTTGCACATACAGTAGTAGGTGACCTACAGTATGTGAATCTGTGGCTTCTTGCATGTCCTCATTAAGACAATGTGGGAAAGTAATCCAAAAGTAAACAACGTTTGCACATAAAGGAAAAATAGTGTAATTTAAATTCAAGGAATTTGTGTTCAAATTCTACAGTGCTTTAATAAGATCTCACCTGAAACATTGTTTTCAATTGTGGACAACTTATTACCAAAAGGATCAATAGCCTTAGAAAGAGTTCAATGAATAGCAACAAAAAACATTAATTGTCTCAGGTAATATGAACCTCATATAAAGAAATGTTAAAATAATTGCATTTCCTCAGGGTAAAACAAAGGAGAAGATTGTATCCAAGTATTTAAAATCTTAAGAAGCAAAGATAGGGTCAGCCCGGCTGACTATTTCACACTCAGTAGCAACTACAGTTAGAATTAAGACGGCCTTAAAGATAATTCATTTTTTAATTTAGAATAGAGATGAGAAAAATCTTTATGTATACAACGAGTTGAGAGGTGTCTGGAACAGGCTCCTCAGTCAAGGGGTTTAAGTCTAAACTCTGAGAAGAGAAGAGGCTGGACAAAATTCTAGATTTAACAAGTAAACCCCTAAATTAGTAATTTTTCATATTTATTATATAATGATTTCACTTTCAGTTGGTGAAGCACACCACCAAAAACAATCATATCACCTGAAAGATTAAGCATAGACAGTACAGTGCTGAAAATAAGTTTATGAACCCATTAGTATTTTCACATATTTGAAACGTAAAGTGTTACTAAATCTTAATCAAGTCCTAGTAAGTCTAATAGGTAATGTTAACCTGAGCATGATACTCTTTCAACATGTATTTATCCTCAAATGATGTACCATTAAAAATCCATGTTTGATAAAATATGTGAACTGCTCAATTAGATTCTGTAACTGGTGGTACCCCATTGAGCAGCAATTACTTCAACTAATTGTGTTCTGTATCCATTGATCAGTCTCTCAAACTGGTTTTGTGGAATTTTGGCCCATTCCTCCTTACAGAACTCTTTCTCTGTGACACATGAGGGCAGACTTGAATGGACAGCTTGCTTCAGGTCTTGACATTAAATGTCAATGCGGATGGACTTTAAATAGGCAGTCGTAAAATGCAGAATTTTTATTTCTTCTGACACCATTCTTTTGTAGATGAGCTTGTAAATTAGGGATCACTTTCTTGCTGAAAGACCTACTTTTATTTAACCTTCAGGTCATGGATGGATGGCTTGATATTCTCCTCTAGACTCTTTTGATAAAATCATGGTTGTGTCAATGATGGCAAATCTTTCAGGTCCTGAGGCAGAGAAATAGCCCCAAAAGCATCACACTCCCACCACCATGCTTGAGGATTGGGATGAGGTTCTGTTTCAAAGCAGTGTTTGGTTTTCATCAAACGAGGCCAAAGAGTTTTTCCTTCGACATATCTATTCATAGAAAATTGTTTCTGAAGCATTGTGGACGGTACTGTATATTTGCTCCTTGGCAATCTTCAGACAGGCAGCTATAATGTTTTTGGAGAGCAGTCTCCTTGCTCTTTTCCATGAACACTATTCTTGTTCAGTTGTTTTCTGATAGTCACATTAACTAAGGTTCCTTGGTTGTTACTTCTGGGTTCTTTGTAACTCCCTTGATAATATTCGTCTTTTGGTATGATCACCAGTTTTGAGTAGAGTGACTGTGGTCTTGACCTTTCTCGATTTGTAGAAAAATGTATTTGTATTTTTGTCTGACAGTGGATTGGTGAAACCCCAAGTCTTTAGAAATGGTTAAGTAAACATCAATAACACTTTTTCTGAGGTCTTAAGAGATTTCCTTTGATTGTGACATGACGTGTTTCCACACATCTGTATGGTGAAGGCAAAACTCACAACATTTCTTATCTTTACACAGGACAGGGCCTTCCAAGACCCTAAAATCTACCTACTTTATTT